TTATCTTTGTTTTAAAGTAAAATTCTATGGTGTATTGCTAATTAGATAATCTGCAATTTAGGCTGTTTTTAATGAGCTCTGCAAAATTTTGGATCCTGGGAAGCCAGCTTACGCTCCGAAGAAAGGAAAACCTAGTGTCATCATGTTTGTTGGTCTACAAGGTAAGCTGAATGTTGAGGTGTAATGCGCTCTACACTTAGTTGTTGGAGTACTATTTTTCTGCTCTTCTTTCTAAAAGGATGTTTTTACGCAAACTTGACTCTGCTTTTCATGTATAACCATTGCTGCATGCTCTAATGTTCAGGATCGGGGAAGACAACCACCTGTACAAAATATGCATATTATCATCAAAAAAAGGGTTGGAAACCAGCTCTGGTTTGTGCTGATACTTTTAGAGCTGGTGCTTTTGATCAGTTGAAGCAAAATGCTACCAAAGCTAAGATTCCCTTCTATGGAAGGTACTCTACGTTTTGACTATGAAATTCTCCGTGCACTTCTGTTTGAGAATTTAATTGTAATTTCTTTTTAAATGCATTTGGAGCATTTTAAATACCCCTATTTAGGTATTCTGAAGTGTACTTGGGGAATAGTCACTGAATAGAGCAGCTTTTTAGATACCTTGGATTGGCTATTATGACAGCGAACTGGTTGAAATGGAGATTTATTTCTGGAGAAGAAGCGATTGTGTTCTGTATATTTCTTGAGTTGATAGTTAGATCTATCTGTGGAGACTATTGATTATATTTATGTTTATAATTGCCTACTATATAAACAGTTACATGGAGTCAGATCCAGTGAAGATTGCTGTTGAAGGTGTAGAAAGATTTAAAAAGGAATCCTGTGATCTCATTATTGTTGATACCAGTGGACGCCACAAACAAGAGGCTTCTCTTTTTGAAGAAATGCGTCAAGTTGCTGAAGCAACAGTAATATATTTAACACTATATCTTCTTCTGTTGTTATAACAACTTTCTATCCATTCTTCTTCGAGTGGAGGACATGCAGTTAATGACCCTTTATAATTTCTTTCCTTGCAGAAACCAGATCTTGTCATATTTGTTATGGATAGTAGCATTGGTCAAGCTGCATTTGATCAAGCTCAAGCTTTCAAGCAAAGTGTTGCTGTTGGTGCCGTGATTATTACTAAAATGGATGGTCATGCAAAGGGAGGTGGTGCTCTTAGTGCGTAAGTACAATGGTGCTTACAAATTGTTTAATTATTTTTCTAGTAACTATCCTCCCCTTCCCCCTCAATACACACGCACGCACACAGACAACTAAGTCAAATAGAGAAGATCTAAAATTAAATAGGAAGATTCATAATCAAGAGAAGCTTATGTTTACCAGTGGCTTAATTAAATTGTTGGCGGGAGATAAAAGAATTGGTCTGCAATGAAAGTTTTGTCTTCTATGAAAGACTGGCTCACTCTCATTGACAGAGGGAGAGAGAATGATAAAGGATCTAAGTAGTGTGGGCTTTAAAACTATTTTATGAATAACTTTTTGTGATATTTCTATGCACTGTAAATATCTCTTTGTTTGAAACTAGTGTTTCTCAAAGTGCTTTAGACTTCCTTTTCTTTTTTTTTTTGAAGTTCTTATGTGTGACTCCCAAGTGCTTTGTAAATTTACTGTGCAGTGTGGCTGCAACCAAGAGCCCTGTGATATTTATTGGAACTGGAGAGCACATGGATGAGTTTGAGGTTTTTGATGTCAAGCCGTTTGTTAGCCGACTTTTGGGTAGATTCCTGTTCTCGTATTTGGCACTTTTTTTTTTTCATTATTCTGCCTAATGGGCTGTACATCTCTGATATTCTGAATGGCTGTGCTATTTCTTTCTTTAGGTATGGGTGATTGGTCAGGGTTCATGGATAAGATTCATGAAGTGGTTCCCATGGATCAGCAGCCTGAACTTTTGCAGAAGCTATCTGAGGGGAATTTTACTCTCAGAATCATGTACGAGCAGTTCCAGAATATCATGAAGATGGGGCCTATTAGTCAGGTATGCTATAGCTGTGTCGCATTAATCAGAAACTCCAGGTTTTGCTTGATTGCCCCTGTAATTTGAAAATGTTGATAAATTTTGGCAATTTGCGAGTACATCAAGTTATTTGCTGCTTTCTCTTAATCAATACAATTGTTCTCTCTCCTGTAAGCCTTTATCTCACACTTTTTACCTCAAATGGCATGTCTTGCTATTGTATAGACATCCCATATTCTCTGACTTCTTCCCTTTTGCAATTTAGTCGCTACATATTCAAGTTCTGCAATGTTATGGTCTGCTGTGGCATGCCAGATACCTAACCATTCGGGCTTCTACTCTTAAAAGCAACAGCATATTAGACCCCTATCAAAGCCATATATCTGGCTTAACTTCCTCTTTCTTTCGTTCCCTCTACTCATAATCAATTATTCAATTTTCCACCAGGACGGTTGCTGTTTAGTTAATCCTCGCCAGGGAAGATAGTCACTCTGAAACTCAGGGTTCTCTCAATGCTTTTTATCTCTGGGGAACGTTTGTGTTACTAATCTTTTTTCACTCTAGGTTTTCTCAATGCTTCCTGGATTCAGTGCTGAGTTGATGCCCCAAGGTCAAGAAAAGGAGAGCCAGGCAAAGATCAAGCGCTATATGACCATGATGGATTCAATGACAGATGATGGTAAGTAGTGGATACCTTGGATGTATTCTGTTTGGTAGAACAAGTGACAGTGCATTTAAAGTACTTTCTCCGATTTTTTTTTCAGTTGACACGTTTTGACTATAGCACTTTTCACACTCCCCTTTGATCGTGTTTTGTGCTTTATACATAATGAAAAATATAGTCATGTACTCATATGGGATCTTGTTACATTCGTCACGATATATATTTTCAAAATATCAACTTTTCATAATTTATGCTTATCGGTAATTAAAGATATTAATGGTTGAATTTGTGCATTGGCAAACGTGACTAAAGAAACGTGTTAACTAAAAAGAAACAGAGGAAGTATTTACTTATTGGCTTAATTGAGCAAGACTTTTTTTTGCAACAAGAGGCATAAAAGGGCAATAACATGGTTCAACTGAAATGATTGGATCATTGGAGTATTTCTTTGATAGAAAAACAGACACTATTTTACTGAACCTTATGCTCGCTATGGTTGTGTCTTGTGTGCAGTACCAAATCATTGTAAACAAGTTTTGAAAAAATCCATTGAGAATAAGTCAATAAGTTGTTTTGGTGAATTTTGAAGTATGCATCCTTAATTGGTGCATTAACATTTATTATTGTGAGTAGTGATTTTCAGCTGCTATTTTCAAAATATTAAGTAAAATCTAGGCTGTGTGGTAAATCTATATCAACAAGAGGAATGTATGCCATTTAATCATGTTGCACAGGTTTGAAGAACATCCCTGGTTAAACTGTGTGAAAGTTATTGATGATTACAAAGACCCCTCTCCCTCCTCTCCTCTATTGTAGAGTGGTGTATATTCTATGTACACTTTGTCATTATGTTGTTTTAGTGTGCCTAATATAATTATGGGGAGGATGGTTTCTGGTGTTGCGTGTTTTGTCAAAATACACATGTACCATGCGCCTTTCAAGTTTTGTTTTATCGTTTGGGTAAGGTCTGCCCTACACAAATTGGCCAGCTTTTGTTTTTTTTGTTTTGTTTTTTTAGAGGAGGAGGGGGGGGGGGGAGGGGAGCATTGTTATTATTATTATTATTATTATTATTATTATTATGACTTATTAATTTCACGTATTGCCGACCCCACTTATGGGATTAAGGCTTTGCTTGATTGATTGAATTTCACGTATTGGCTACGTCTGCTGTTGAACCAAATTTAGAGCTATTAATTGTTTCTGAATCTGGATTTTTGCAAAAAATATGTCATAATAATATGGAAGTAGTTAGTATATCATTGTACTATATGTCACTTTTTTTCCCTGGGTAGTCCTTGAGCATTGACTTTGTTTTGATCTGGCCATAATGCTGCAGAGTTGGATAGTTCAAACCCAAAACTTATGACTGACTCGCGAATTATGCGGATTGCTCGTGGAGCTGGCCGTCATGTTAGAGAAGTTATGGATATGTTGGAGGAGTACAAACGCCTTGCAAAGATCTGGAGCAAGATGAAGGGACTTAAGATTCCAAAGAAGGGAGAGATGAGTGCCTTGTCACGTAACATGAATGCACAACATATGAGCAAGGTTCTTCCTCCACAGATGTTGAAGCAGATAGGGGGTATGGGTGGTTTGCAGACCCTGATGAAACAAATGGGTAATATGGGTAATATGGGTTCTGCTAAAGACATGATGAGTATGTTTGGCGGGGGAGGAGATAAATAAAAATCGTTGTGTGGCTCATGTTGCTGTTAACTCTAAATTAGTTTCTGCTGCCATGAATTGTTTTGCTATATGGCCTATATCCCAGCCTACCAAACTTCAGCATGCCTTTTCCAGCTATCTCTTGCCGGAATTGCAATTGAATATCATGGCAGAATTCGAGATTCAGATTGAAGATGCCTGCTGTTTGATCTCGAAAAAGTACAGTGATAGGTTTTTTTAAAATTTATTTTTCCTTACTGTGAACTCAGTTATTACATACTATAAAATTCTTAGTAGTTCATATCTCTGTAATTTTTCCAGGCTTTTACCCACTTTATGAATTTGAATGGAAATCTCCGTTCACATTTGAATCAATTTGTCATTTCCAAGTTCTTTTATTTTAAGGACAGCAGAGGAACAAGTTCTTTTGTTTAGATTCATTCTTATGTACCTCTGAAAAGTCATTTCGTAACGAGTATTGAGTATGAAAGATTGATGCAAAGTTTGTGAAGAACTAGATTTTCCAACACAAAGGTGCTACAAAGCAAGTGAATACACACTCTAGCCATACGGCCCATATTAGTTGGATTTTAGTTGGTTAATAACTAGACAATCTATGAAGTTCACTTCTTCAAAAATAAAAAATCTATGAAGTTCACTGGAAAGAGTGCCATTGAAGATGAAATGAGCCACATATATCCTCTCAAAAATATTGCAATATAAGAGATTGAAAATTGAGCCAGTTTGCCAAAGAAAAGCTCAATCTTTTATTTTAACAATACTCCCTTCAAGGGCACAAGAGATCATATACGTACCATCAGATCATTTAGTCAATAAAGTGTTACATGTAATTTATCTGTACATTAATTGTCTTGTCTAACATTCACAAGAACTTTCCTAAGACCGTTTGTTTTGAGGGCACCTCTTTACCTTCATCTGACAGGTCAAGTGTCTTAAGAGCACAGCGGATTAGAGAATTTATTTGTTTCCTTCTTGTGGCATTATCAACGAAGAGCTCTGTAACCATTTTTCGTAGCTCAGCTACTGTTTCACTGTTTGATCTGTCGGCTGAATATTCAACATCTTGTGCAAGCAGCTGTGCCTGTCACAATTATGATTCATATTGAGATGAAGGCACTAAATACAACAGCGCAAGGCTTAGAAGGTAGAGACTAGAAGGCGAAGGAAAAAGTATAAAGATTACAGATTTACAACCATCCAGATATTAGCTCACTGGCACATAACATGAGGATATACAACCATACAAAATATGGAGTAGCACGTACTGCATTAGTTGATGATATACTATCATGAAACAAACTCCACTTCGGAAAAATTTGATTGTTTTTGCGAACAGGGTCTTTTCATTTACTAGTTAAGCTGTTATATACACCCGGGTGCACGGTGCACCCAAGGTATCTTTGCTTAATTTGATGATTAAGTTAAAGGATGGTTTGAATCATCTATTTCATCTGTTCTGAAGTGCTGGGGCTTCTAGAGTTCTAGTCCACTTGATAAATTATAATCATCACTTTAAAAAATACAGCACACGCATTTTGGGACTTTAAATTATATCACAACCACCTCTAAGCTAAACAAATCCATGCATGCTATGGTTTTTTGCAGATTAGCAATGGTTCCCTAGGGAAGGTGGTGTTAATGATCACCTTAATTAAGATCACACGGAAAATGAAGTAAACATGAAAAGGCATTGTACCTCAGCCAGAAGAAGACCAATTCGATTATCAGACGTGGTAAGAAGATCAATAGCATCTGAAGTATCCAGCACTAATTTGTCTTCCTCTTCAACCAGGAAGTTCACACTGGATTCTTCAAGCCGTTTTTGAAGAATTGAACATTCATGCAGCAACTTCTCATTAACAGAACTAGCATATACACTTTTTTGCCTCTCGTTTTGGAGATCTCTCTGATATCAGATGATACTAGAATAAGTTAGAACACTGAGCACACACAAAAATTAATACATACTCAAAAGTCTATCAGAAAAGAAATAGCTTGCACGACTGGCTAGCACACTTTAGTTGAAAGAATCCTGAAGAACAACTAATAGTCCATGGTTGAATTTCACTTAATAATATCTTTTAACCCATCTAGTAAAGAAAATAGATGAAATATTTGACTATAATGAAACCCAGAGAACTTAAAAAGTTAGGCATGAAAGCATGATTAAACAATTCAAATAGATGATAGCGGAATGCCCATATGAAGAATACATGATTAATGGAGATATGACTCAACTTGGCGCAATCATCTAAATACCAATCATTTAAAATAAAAGGAATACTAGGCTCTTTTGGAATGAAAAATTACCTCCAATTCTAGCTTTTCTTTTGTTAAGTTGCTAAGCTCCTGCTTCAAATCTGATTGTGAACTTCGAAGAGACTTAACCTCTTTAACGAGAACTTTCAAATCTGTTTTTGATTTTGTTTCGGACTCATCATGATGTTTCAGTGAGCTTTCAAGTTGATCCCTAGACACGTCTAATTTCTGTTTCAGCAATTCATTCTCCTGGATAATAGCTGAATTTTCTGAAGCCAAACACATCTTTTCATCCTGAAACATCACACTACGATGTCATTATAAGAACCTTAAACCATTCTAGGATGCATAAAGGATTGCTTACAATAGGTGTACAATTTTAAACCTGTTCAGCTTTAAATTTCATTTCCATTTCTAGACATTTCTTCCGAAGTTCCTCCATATCCCATTGCATTTGAGTATACCTCTCCTTTTCAGCTGAAAAAGCTTGTTGAAGATTGTCTTTCGTACTCTCTTTAGTAGTTTCTAGATCCACTTCCAAATCTGTGAGCTGGGAAGAGCATATAAAGTTACAACCTCATATGCCAATGATTAAAAAACAATACTTGGCATAATGCATGGAAGGTTCATGGGATGGGACAGGTAATTACACTAAAAAAGAGGAGTTTTCATTGGCAGCCCTATGTTTTTGTACTTTTAACATTTAGTGCAATTTTGGTACAATTTCCAGAAACTGATTTATAATTCTTCGACTACATTGATAGAACCATGTCTTCTACAGATAACTGGGAATTTGAACAGCATACAAGCTTCAAGATCACATAAGACTTTTCCAAACATCTTGGTTACATGAGATAAATAAACAATGAGACTATTATGAAGAACAGACATCATAATATAATGGCTCCATCATATCAGGTAGGAACAATGGCAAAAAGGACTATCCTGCCTAGGATTACTCATATACAAACAACAAGACAATCAATAAATCTACAATAAACCACTTAGCCAAGGAAGGCAAAGAGTAGGATGTGGAAACCAGCAATTTCTTGAGTACAAAAATATCTAGGAGGGTAATATTAGTGTGATGAGGGCAACTACCACCACCATCAAAAAGTATCAAGAAAAATTAAGAGCAAGAACCACCATTTGGTGCTGTATGCAGCATACTTAAACAGATACAGACAGGATAAACAAGATTAATCTGGATACAGAAAGGTACCTTTGTTGTAAGGTATTGTCTCACTGCAAGCTCTTGATTCAGTCTAGCAACTAGGTCCTCCATATCAGCTTTAGCAGTAGCCAGCCGTCTTTGCATGGTAACGAGAACCCTACTGAATTTATGGCGTTGATCTGATGGAAGAGCCACCAATAAATTGCTAGGAGATTGTAGATCATCATCTATTGGACCTTCAGCTTCCACAGGAGAGTTGGGTCCACCTTCATCGTGAATTCTTGATGTTCCCCAGTCACTAGCTTTTACAGAGATCAGATCACTTCCAGTACTATCGGTTGACATACTTGTCAAATGGCCCATCACCTTGTCCTCTCCTTCAGATAGAATCTCCTTTCCATCCTCATCATGAGGTGTATTTCCAAAGGTATCTTCATAAGATTTATCCTTTTTCCTATCACTATTAGCCCTGTTATATTTGACGCAAGCACCAGCAGTTTCTGATCCACCAGTTAAATCAATATCTGATGCAGAGTTTTCCTCATTAACCCCAGATACAGCATGACCTCCATGCCCAGGTGTTTCAGCGTCCGATTTATTATAACTAGTGCTATCACCGTAGTCTGATGCGACTGATGAGACTCCATTACCAGATGAATCATTGAATGCTGATATAATTTAAATATAAATATAAATCAAATCACTTCATTCAACTTAAACTATTGTCAGATAGAGACATTGCTAAGGTGGTTCCAACTCCCGAGCTTTCAGAAAAGCTGATTAATAAAAGAATACAAGACAAAAATAACCAAAGATATTAAACTTATCAGGAAAACACCCACATGACCTGGCAGCAGCTTCCAACTCCAGAAAGATTGCCACAGGTGCACTCCTTGACACATCAATATTTGATAATAGCTTATCCATCCAACCTTCCAAAGAACTTCTTCTCTGTGTGATAGAGACAGTTGCAAATTATGAGTGCATCAATTCAAAATATTTCCATGTAAGTTTGAAGAAATTATTACAAAGTCTGAATCCGACAAGATAAAAGTGCATATCATTGAGAAAATCATAGTGGTCTAGGCATGAAGATCCACTTAAACAGAACTTGACAAAATTAGGTAAGCTTATAGAAGCTACTCTTCTGGACCAAAAGAACAAATACCTAAAAGTTCATTCAACTGTTAGACAGGATTAATTGGATATGGGATCACATTGACTTTGTCCATACGAAAGCCCTGGCGTTACTAGAGTATGTTAAGACATTGCAACTTAAATAATACATGATGCACCAAGTTGCACTCTACCCAGTCATCTTGCCCTCTTTACTGCTTAATACTTTAGATAAGGATGAACCGGCTCAATAAAGGGTGCTAATGAGAGGAAACAACTTGCAAGCTACTAGAGCATGACTGGGTCAAAACTCAGCACAAGTGAATTTGCTCGATTCAATAAATTAATGATTCGGTTTTAGAAGCTCGCAACTCATTTGACAAAGCTCGCCAAATACTCAGTTGCACTACAAAAATTATCTTCTACTGCTGCTACATATCCCCCCAATAACATCGCTTGTACTTGATTATAAACAGCTTGCATACTCTGGAAAATCCTATTTCAGAACATATTTTTTAACTGGGCCAATATTACAGTTCTTGGAGCACAAAGAAAGTAAACAGTATATATCATAATCTAATATCCACCAGAATAAAAAACTTTTCCTTATCCCTTTCCATTTCATATATCCTTCATTAATTGAGGACTACCATCCCCCATTAATAACAGCACTGCCAGCATATGCAATCTCTTTTTATCTCTTCCTCTCATATTTCATGTTTCTCACTCTTTCTCGAATCTTATGCTTCTCTCGCTTTCTCAGTAAACATTTTTTCAACCTTGTTATCTACCTATTGTCTCTCTGAATTTATCTTAGGTTCACCACTAGGGACATGCACTATCAATTGCATTAACAGCTCTTATGAGAACACTGCCTTATTTCTGTGATATGTGATTTAATTGCTTTTTTTTCCCTCTAAAGTTTCTGATTTTCAAACATATTTATGGGTTTACTATAACAAAACCAAAGATTTATGGTCAAAGGGTAGGTTGGCTGCATGAACTAAGAACCTATCTCTCGTAGTCTCGTGCATCCACGACAATCTGATAATGGGTTAAATTCATTAAAAGATTATTGGGTCTGAAAGACATAATTACAATGTATACATGAGATTTGGATCAGATAGGACTGAATTTGGATCAATGCACACTTATTCAAACAAGGCTCTTTAAATTTTTGGATAGAATTTCCCCTAAAAAATGGATAAAATGTCAGCTAAGATATCTGACTAAAATCATTTTGGACTAGATTTAGGATTGGCAAGGCCCAATCCAACCCATCCAATTCGCACACCTAGGCTACAACAGGAAACTGACAAAAAGGACAGATTGTATAAAGATATGGATCAAAAGTTTCGTCTTTATACAAAAAGGCTGGGGATATTGTGGTGGATCATCAAAAATCTAGATGAGAACTTTCATTACTAAAGACAGCCAGAACCCACAGCTGCACTTTAGACAGCAAAAAATCTCTTAATCACCACATGCACTACTGGAAGAGACACTTAAACATAATACAGGAAGAGCATAACCAGCTAGTCCGGTCCCCTATAAATGAAAATGCAAATTTGAGACTTTTCCTGTTAGATCTTTTAGCAAGTACCATTTGGTAATTGGAGAGCTTAGTGAATAAGTTCATTATAGGTAGATTAAAAGTCAGAAGCTTTTCAGAATCCATCAAATGGAACATTATTCTCACCTCTTCAATCAAACTCCTGCTTTGAGCTCCCATCAGCTTCCTCGGAGGAGGAGCAGGCAGAAAATTCTTGGGAAATAGCTTTTGGAGCTGCAAAAAAAAAAAAAAAAAAAGATCTATACTATTAATAACTGCAAGCAGCCAAGCAGTAGCAAATTAGCAAAAAATCTCTTAGATATTTGATACATGAGCTCTTTCAAAGAATATTGCATTACCAATCCAATTACAGGGTATATATAGGAAAAAGCACCCTGATAAAATATTTTTTTTTAAAAAAAAAAGGAAAAGAAAAAGGGCTAACCTCTGAAAACAACTTCAAAAAGTCACTAAATCTACGTAATATTCCTCGAGTGCTCGTGACTGCTTCTGGTGTCTGTATGCCAACTTGGATCCTGTAATACTGTTGCTTATAGTAGTGAGAATAGAGTAACCAACGGCCAAAAAAACAAATAGAAACTATGAATGTAACCCAATTAAAAAGACAAGGGGAGGGCGTGAGGCTGCGTAAGCTGGAAATACTATTCAAAAATAAACTGCGGTGATTTCATTCACTACAACCTCAAACTGACAATGTAAATGTCTTTTATCCATCTTCAGCAGGAAGATTACATGTTTCAAAAATATACATAAGTTAAATCATAAGGAAAGGGCGACACGCTGCATACAATTTTACTTCCATCAGTCAGGCCTTCCTATGACTGCCCAGGAAAACAAAAAAAAAATTGATTAAAGAATTCATGAGTTAAATAACAAGTGGCCAAGCCAATCAAGACTTTATATCACACACATAGACTATGAAACCTCATAGAAAACAAATCCATGACATCTGATGAAATTGTCTGATTGCAATGGTGAATACAATGAAATAGAAAATATGTAACGGAAGATAAAAGAAAGTTTTTATGGTCAGCTAATTTATAGAATTAAAGCTGTTTCTTGACTGGGATGGATTTCATGCAATTATAACATGACACAAAGATCACATACAAATGACTATTGCCTCTCTTTTCATTAAAAGTCTAAGTGACAAATCATGTTAAAAATATATGTAATTTTTACCACAACTGGACCGGAGCCTCTTGAATCTGATAGAGTAGTCCAAGAAGGAATAGTGATGCAATAACTCCATCCAGTGGGAGGATCATGAGGCCATACAGTGTGACGTCCATCCTGCAGACAAATCAAATAATTTCAAAAACTTGTACATTTTTTTTTTGATAAACTCATCTTTACTTGAAAAATAAATGCACTAATCTTTCCTTAAAAAAATGAATATTCTCTATTAACAAGAAAAGGAGTTCTTCTATAGTTTACTTGCTATTGAAATAGTTAATTAATCAAAATACAATCCATTTTGTGATATCTCTAAAATGTTGTAATTTCAGTCATGACAGTTCACTTAACATTCTCATTTTAGAATGACATATAATATCCATATTGAGTACTTTTCTTAACTCTTAACATTTCCATTCAAAAATTTCAAATCAAGATAGTTCTCTGAGCATTGCATTCCAAAATTTTAAATCAAGATACTCTAGGCATTTCTCATTCCACAAAATTTTCTTTTGATTTGATTCAGCAGAAATGATAGCTACTTAAATAGGTACACCGCGTTCCATAATCTTTTGCCTGCTATGAACCACTATCCCCTTCTCTCTTTTAAGCACTTTTGAGCACATTGCTAATCCTCTAATTCAACCAGTCTCTCCTTCACCTATAAAACAATCGCTAATGCAAAAGGAGGGCCACTTTAATTCATCAAACCCTTTACCTCGATCAACATCATTCAATCCAATTACATAGTATTCACACATAACCAATTATAACAAATCATCTCCCACATTTACTCTCAACTTACAATATTTATCTAGTAAAATCAAACTATTCAAACCCCCGCCCTCCCCCTCTTCAGGAATCATGAGCTTCATAACCATCATAATCATTCATAGAAAATCAAATTTCCAACATTAAATTGACTAAAATCATGCAATTATATAAAGAAAAAGGTAAAAAATCACTAAAACCCAGAAATCAAATACCCACTAAATTTGTACTAGCAGACTTAGAAAAGCAAAAATTCCCAAACCCAGAAATCAAATACCCACAAAAATTGTACCAGCAAGCTTACAAAACCCAAAATCCCAATTAATAATCAATCAACCCCAGAAATTATAAAATTTAAAATTGGGGAAATTAAAAAGAAAAAAGCATACCCATATTTGAGGAGGGGAGCTCCAATCCATGCCCAAAGGCAAAGGGGAAGTACCATCATGACGAAAGGTAGACTGTACTTCGACGATTGGTGAAGAATCTTCAAATTCACGAGTTAATCTTTCATATATAAGATGATCAGAAATTCCGAAATCCAAGAGTGTAAAATCCATCCCATAAGCATTCATACTAGTTGTATAATATATCTCTCTTTCTAAATTTCAATTTTTCAGGGGTGATGATGGGTAATTAACTGCCATTTTTGTAGTAGAGGAGATAAATTTGCAGTTTTTGGAAGTTGGAGGAAGTAGTTTATCACAAGGTGGTCGGTATTGAGAAAGGGTTTTTTGCTGAATCGTAGATTTTGGCATTGGGGTCTACTTTCATTACCTAGGGCTTGTCAAATGGATCGAGTCGTGTTATAATCTTCGAAATCGGGTCACTTTCTAGTTGATTCGTCGAACCATGCATTGATTCAATCAATATTAATTCAAAGTCAATTCAACGATTTAAGAGTTCAGTTTATAATGTTTTTTTTTTTTATTTTTAGTCGTGATTGTACTCACCTTATTTCTTTTTCCAAAGTATTTGAGCATTGATATGTATATTAGTATTTTGAAATTTTATACCGACAAATGCAATAAGATATCACATTAGTATACATTTTTCCATTTTTTTTTCTTTGACACATATTTTTCCATCTCCTAGTTGTTGCACTGCATGTCTGCATGCTACCAATGCCCCGTGGTAGTGAAACCTAATTAGTTTTTCTACTAGTGGAGATTATTAGCAAAATATTAATTTGGTAGAATTAATAGTGAAGTTTATTATATTCGGGGGTATCTGTTTTTGAAAGGCTTTCCAATTGCATTTCTTTGTTATTCTTCTAATTCATTGGTCAAAGTTTAAACATTTATATTGCTAATTAAAAATGCAATTGAAAAAATATTTAAAGAACGGAAAGAGTAACAAGATTAACAAAAGCAATCAATGATATAGTTAGTAGTCGATTTGCTCCATGAACGTTTTATAGGGGTGAGCAAAAATTTAGGGTACCCTGACCTAAAACCGGAACCTGTAGATCAGGTTCCGATTCTGGGTAATAAAACTGGGAACCTATTGCAACAGCTTCAGGTTTCGGGTAATAAAATTTTGGACCCGGAACCTATAGGGTACCCAGTTAGTTCAGGTTCCTTGTAGGGTACACGAAACCGGAACCTATCTTTAAGCCCAAATATAAAAGCCCTATATCAAAATTGTATAATTAAGTAAGCTCCAACAAAACAAAAAAAAAAAAAAAAAAAAAAAAAAAAAAAAAAAAAAACCTCGGCCCTAAGCTCATACATCATTTCTCATTTCCTACACCGGCCATCACCTACCTCTCTCCCTCCTCTATTCATTTTTCATCTTACTCTTAAAGGTTTAATTAAAGGTAGTAATATAAGTATTTGTAATTTTGTATTCTATATTAAAGTTGTAAGCTTTTATTGTGAACATCCATTTTTTTTTTGTATAAATTTTGTAACAATTTATCAAGTAACTATTAAGCTTACTTGAAAAGACAGGGTACCCTGTTTCGGAACGGTAACCTGTAGGTTTCGGTTCCCAATTTTTAGAAACCTGTTGAACAGGTTCGGGTTCCGGTTCCTATTTTTAGGAACCTGTTGCAACAGATTCCAGTTTCGGGTCCTGAGATTTAGACGTACAGGGTACCCTGCTATGCTCACCCCTACGTTTTATATGCTACACTGGCTTTTTAAAGTCATTTCATCACCAAAACACTAACAAGTACTCCATGTAAGATATAACAAAACCCAGAAAAACCACAAGAAAGCACAAAAAATTGGAGCAAAGCATAGCCAACCCTTCTAGGAAGATCCCTAAGCTAACATCAAACCTGTAACAGACATATAGCAAAACAAACCTATTACATGTGTTTTTTCACTATAACATAAAAATCCTAGGAAAACAAAATGCTATTTCCGTTATTCTCACTAAGCAAAAATTCATTAATAATATGCAGAATGCAGCCTTGTTAGACTCCATCTTGCAGCATCTTATATTGAGCACAAACAGTTCAAAGGAAGTTCTAACAGCATAATGGATAGATAGATGTTAACATGGAATGTGGTGATCATAATACTGGAATCGAGCAGGTGACTGAGGCTTTTGGTAAATTCATCAATGTGTTCTCGACTGACATCTGATTTTGATATGGAATTGCATTTCTGTCTCGGGCTAAGCATATGACTAGTTCCTCCAAAACTAACGCATGTCTCAGGAAAAACTGGCTTATTACCACTTCGCGTTCTATTCCAAAGTATTTCTTTATCACTATTCTTCTGAGATGATATCTGCAACATACAGGAATTTCATCATCTGTAGTAAAAAAATCTCGTTCCAACTCTAGTTCCTTTTTTCTGATATACCCATATATATCATCACCCATAGCCACGTCAGACTGATCCATGAGTACTCCCTATAAAATAACCAGCATATAATTAAAAAATTTTGTAATCAATACCAATCATACCATGTACATAAGATAAATACTAAAACCACACACCAACCTCTTGAAAAACAAGTGTTTCTTCTAGGGAGCCTCAGTTTCTCACGGTGAGAAACAAAACATGGTATTTTTGTAAATAAACCAACAACTTTATTCAATTGTGGAGCCTACAACAATGAAAAAACTGTTGATTTATTTACGAAAATGCCCCCATGAGAAACAAATTTCGTTTCTCACTATGAGAATAACAGGGAATTTCCCGTTTCTAAAACAGGTGAACAGTTGAGAAAGTGCAACAACAGTTCATTCCAGCAACATATGTCAATTTCACCCAGCTCTAGATGTTTAATTAAGATTATGAAACACGGGCAGTTGATCCTTTAAGACCTTTTCATCAGCCTGGCCGAATAGCTACAACCACAGGTTAGCCAACTGGTGAATTCCATAGTTTATAGAGTACAGAAATAATAGCATCAGACAATTTTAGAGATAGAGACGTACCGGCACTAACAAGCCCTGCAACGATAAATGTTGAACATAACACAAGGGTCTAATGAGATTAATTATTTTCTGAAAAGCTACTTCAAACACATCAAATTCTAACATCTCAATTACACACAGAACTGCTTTAACAAGACGATGCATTATCGGTATCGAGTAACATTTTGCTATATGATCACGGTAATCAAGGTACTCAAGGTTGGGAGCATTGATAAGCACCAAGTCATTAGCCTCGACAGAAAGCCTTCATTAGCAATAAAAGACACATACAAGAAGAGCAATTTCAAGTTTGGAAGACGATAAGATGGCATGGTAAAAACATGATCAAGGCCAATATTGACCCTCTTAGTATTTTGATGATTGACAAAACAAACAAACTTTGACTAATGATGTGTGATAGTCTTTGGTAGAACGAAAAGATTCAGGTGTTAACAAATTGTTCCAGAGTAGGAGCAACCGAATTGGAAGTCTTGATATTCTTATGCAAGCTTTCAAGAAGAAGAGAAAATTCCAGTCCGTAGAATTCATTGTAAGCACTAGAGTCTTTATGTGCAGAGAGGAAGAACTAAATGTTTTAACGTAAAACTCCTTAAAAGTCAATAAAATAGAATCGGTTTTCAAAATAAGATATATTTTGTAAGTAAATAAATAATAAATAATTGTTTAATTAAAAGATAAGTTTGTTATTTTTAAATTAAATAATTATTTAAAGTTTTTATCTTTTTAAACAATAAAATCTTTTTAACTGCTTTATTTTGACCAAGTAAAATTGGTTATCTAATTTTTAAGGAGGCACGTTGAAAGCTTGAGAGGAAAGTCAGGGAGATCTTACCCATTCTCTGATCAACGTTCTTTAACTTCCAAGGTTAAGGTGAACGTGGATCATGGGAGGAGTGGGAAACAAGATTGAGGCTTTCCATCTCTCTATAAAAGGCTTGCAACGAACTCTGATTTTTGGTGTGGAAAAACATTCAATTTTTAGAGCTTAAGTTTTCATAAAATATTTACTGTATAGAGCTGAGTTACTTTCTGTCTTAATCTTCTCTAGTGCACTAGGAAAAGTCTTGTAATTACTTTTGTGATTCGAGATTGGGGTTTGAGAGAATTGTAACTAAGAGACTTGAGTGAGTATGTTAGAGAGTTGTAAGTGATTCAGAGTCGAATCATATAGGAGAGTTAAGCTGCGGTAGAGTGACCGTAGCTGGGATACTTGAGTTCCTAGAGAAACTTGAGTGTAGGCGGAAGTTTCACCTTTGTAAAAGAGTCTTTACATAGGGAAAATATTCGAAAAGCCTACATGTGTTCTCTTTTTTCTTACATTGTTTAATTCCGCAAAAAATTCACTATTCTCTATATCCTACAATTCACCCCCCCTCTTATAGTAGACATCGATCAAACACAAGCTAACACCTCCAACGTTTCACATGTGAAAATAAGCTGGGGGCAGCTGTGCGTCACCTGGTTCTCTCACCAGAATACAGAGATCAAGCTCCCTAAGTCCACAAAGGGTCAATGGATAAGAGATCCACGCATTAAGTCGTGAAGATTTCAAGTCAAGGAAGCAACCTCGCTTACACTTATAGGCATAGCAACCATTATAATACACTCTAGCAAAGTCCCCGCTGCCAACTTGAAGTCTAAACTTGGTGAGATACCGCGATTGGTGTGCTTGGAGTACATTATCAACAAAGCTCACAAAAGTGGGGAAACGTTCAATTGCATAGGGATGTTTCAAACAAAGAGATATAGGTGAACCATCAAAATCGAGGCTCGTAATCAAAGGAAAAACACGCCTCAATCTCCTAGACAAGTCGGAAATAGCAGCAGCATCCTTGGTGGGAAGCAAAGATACGTCCGAATCAACAATTCATCAGGCAAATTGGTGAGCCTATCATGGCTATCAACCAACATAACATTTCATTTATATTGCGATTCCTGCTTAAAAATATAATGTTAATTAAAAACCCTTATGGAAAAATAAGCATACAATCATGTTCATAGTTCCGTTATTTAACAATAATGTAAGGTTTACGAACAAATTTGACTCAAATTAAATTCTTCCCGCTTAAGAAGTTACTTAGAATTCTATACGATTAAAAAGACTTTTATAGATTTGTCTGGACATATAACTTCTCCTAAAAATAGATTAGAGATATTATGGTACGTGCATCAACAAGCGTGAAGTATCGCGTGTATGCTAGATTAACATTAGAACCCTGAATTGAATCAATTTGATGATTGACGTTATTAGATTCTGAATTGAAATTCAATGGTTAAGAAAAGAAATCTATTGTACCTCAGGAGCTGCGGAGAATGCAGAGTATGCTAGATTCAAGAACACAATCAAGAGTAAACGTTAGTTCTGTATTTTCTGTGTGTGTATTGCTGAGCAGTTAGCACATATAGCACCGTAGTATGTACTCTAATTTTTATAATATACAATATGTGAAACTCTTTTTGAAATTAATAAATAAATGAATAACCTAATGGCGCGGCACCTTTTTTTTTTGTGCAGCTGACCACACCATACGATCGCTTGTAACCTTATAACACTAATTAATGAAGTAACTCTCATGATGGCTTACCGTATAAAAAATTTGTGATAAAAGATTTGGCTATAAACTATTATAGTTACACAATATTTTATATGTGGCTGGCCATACCGTGACAGGGGTTACTTA